GTATTTTATAAAAGATTAAAAAGTCTTGAAAATATTAATTTGATCCCATAATTACTTAATTACATTTGAAAGAGGATTTGACCAGCTCTTGGTCAACCTGTCACTAAAAACAAAAACGAGACTTATTTGACACTTTTCCCTTAAGGCATAATATATATATTAGACCCTAAACTTGACTTCAAATTTTAACTTTAACATTCAACTTTCATAATGCACAAATAGACACTTTAACTATCCAACTTTTAAATAAATAAATAAATGAATCCTACATGACACAATACACATAGAACACCACGTAGGACAAAAAATGACATGTTGAATGATATGTAAGACATTTGTGTCTATTTGTTCAACTTTATATAAATTTAACTGTCTATGCATATTCAAAATTAAAAAGTATAAATATAATTTGAAACCAAGATATAAAAGGGATATTCATGTATTATGCTTCACTTAATTTTGTCAATATTCAACTCCACCTTAAAAAAAGTATTTGGAAGAGCACAAATTCAAAATAAAATTTCTCAAATCCAATCCAATCCAATCCAATCCTGTTTGGGTTGTTGTCTAAATCCCTAAGTTAGCAGATTTTTTCCTATTAATGGCTGCTGAACCATTACTTCAAACACACCCTATAACTGAATCAGCTCCATCGTCTCCGATCAATTTCTCTTCCTCCGATTCCGATTCCGATGATGACTTTTTCGCTCCGACTTCCTGGTCTTCCAATAACTTGCAGAAGAAGAAATTCCGCCGATCCAGAACTGCTCCTGCCATGGTTTCCGTGAATGATCTCTTTGAATCACACCCTAATGAAGAATCTGACCACTTCGAACCTACTTCTCTAGTCAGACAGGCTGCTTTTTTGCTTGTTATTTACCTCTCTCTAGGTGTAGTCGTCTATTCTTTCAACCGTGACCATTTCTCTGGAGTTGAAACCCACCCTGTTGTTGACGCTCTTTACTTTTGCATCGTCACTATGTGTACCATTGGCTATGGCGATATTGCTCCAACTACTCCTTTAACAAAACTATTTGCTTGTATATTTGTGCTTGTGGGTTTTGGTTTCATCGACATTTTGTTGAGTGGGGTTGTCAATTACGTACTTGATTTGCAGGAGAATTTTATATTGACCGGCAGCCGATTACAAGGGCAGCGGCAATTAGCTAGCAATGACCATAGGCGTAGCGGATTATCCGCCTGTATGGACTGCATTGTCGATGTAGCAAAGGGCAGAATGAGAATTAGATTGAAGGTGGGTTTGGCTCTGGGAGTTGTGCTTTTGTGTATAGGATTGGGTTCAATGGTGTTGTATTTTCAGGAGGATTTGGATTGGGTTGATTCGGTTTACTTATCGGTAATGTCTGTTACCACTGTTGGATATGGTGACAGGGCTTTCAAAACTCTCCCGGGAAGGTTGTTTGCTTCAATTTGGCTTTTACTTTCAACCCTTGCGGTGGCGCGAGCTTTCTTGTATTTGGCAGAGGCAAGGATTGACAAGAGACACAGGAGAATTACCAACTGGGTGTTGCAGCGTGAAATCACCATTGAAGATCTGCTTGCTGCTGATATTAACAATAATGGTTTCATTAAGTAAGTTTCCTTATTTCTTCCTATCCAAAACTCACAAAACCATAGTATCTTATACACTACAAATGCTGCCATAAATTTGTATACACACTCGTTTGGTTAGAGATATAAGGTATAATCATTCCACTATAATATGTAGGGACATTTTGTAGGATTTTTATACTGAAATAACTTGTTCTCAACCAAACGAGTGCTTTGATAAGAACTTGAGGTTTGGTTTCACTCCTTCATTGACCGATAGGCCACATCTTTGGGGCTTTACGTAACTCATACTCTCGCTATAATTTGTATGTTTTTTACTTTCCTTTTTAGTAGGTTTCAAAACATTGCAAATTCTTTAATTCTATTTTTTCAGGAGACATGTTAATGAGCACAACATTGAAGTATGTTTTGGTATATTTTTACCTATTTTTAGTTTAAGATCACAAGATTCAATAGTTTTTTCTTTAGTTTTTTGGAACGATCATAGTCAAACATACAAATTAAAACGTAGGGAGGCAGTATAATCTAATTATCTTTGTCCTGTTTTATGTGACAGTTTTGTTTGTCCTGTAATAATGGAAAGGAACATTAGAAGTTACTTTCATAGAAAAAAGACACTTCCTTTAATAACCAAACCTTTTAAATAAATGTGAATTGGAATATTTGGAACATATAAAAGACATAATTTGGATGGAGGGATTAATTAAAAGGCTAATCTTTTGCAATACTACACAGGAAATCAGAATATGTCATTTACAAGCTCAAGGAGATGGGAAAGATCAATGAGAAAGATGTAATGCAGATATGCAATCAGTTCAACAAGCTTGACGAAAACAACTCTGGGAAGATAACATTACCCAGCCTCTTGCAGAGTCATTTATAGCTGAAATTCTTTCACTACCGTGTACTTAATCTGCTAATTTTCGAGAAAAAAGGTTAGTATCTGATGTGTATGACATTAAAGTGTTATATTGCGTATATATGTTCTTGTATGTCAAGTGTTTGAGCCAAATGTGAACATTGACATATAGTGGTATAAGTTTACCTGGAGAGAATATGTGTAAGCTATGAGAGGGAACTCTGGTGAGGAAGAAAACTACAATGAAAACAAAGGAATAGTTGTTAGAGTCATTGATTTTCTGGTGAAACCCCCATCAATTATTTGGTAGAGTAACAACAGATGGCGGTGAAGCACCAACAACGGTTAATATCAGAAGCAAAGAGGGGTGTGATAAGGCTAGTCCTCCTCGAGCCTACTCCCGTCTTTTGAATTAAGCTTCTGAGTAAGTTGGTATAGACGCAAAAGAATCAGCTGACACTAGACTACAGTTAAGAGTTTGTGTGAAAGAGAAAACATGAAGAAAGAAAAAAAATTTATATCTCTCAAAAAAAAAATTGTGAAATTTGTTGGAGGTTGTATATATATTTTGTAAAGATTTATTGTATTATTTGAATGTGTAATATTGGATTTATTTGGTATATCTATGTATAAATCCCCTTCTATATTTCAGCACTTAAACAGGCTCTTAGTGGCTCTTAAACAAGCTATTCAATCTTTCTTGATTTGAATTATGTTGGGGATTTTGGCTCATAATACTACATTTTAAATTTGATCCTTACACTATTTCAGCTAATTATCCTGTCTTATTTCACGTGTCACTGTTTGATTTCACGCACGTTTAAGGATATTTGAAATTTGTAGTTTGAATCAATTTAGATATTTGTATAATTATAAATTATTTCATCAAGGATAAAAAAGATTTTTGAAGTTAAATTATTTTTGGAACTGACTAAAATAAAATGTGTACCACGTAAAATGAAATAGAGCGAGTAGAAGTTTTATACGTATAATTTTACAACAAATACTTGCATAATATGAAAGTTTTAAACTAGGAGAACTAGTCAAATTTCAATTCACACTAAATTTTCTTTGACTATTGATGCCTTTTTTAGTCATTGTTGAATTAGTGTAATTTCAATTCACACTACAAAAAGTAGATCGAAAATTGACCTTTTGTGGTCATTGTTCAATTAGTGTAATTTCAATTCACACTACAAAAAGTAGATAAAAAATTGACCGAACGATGCACAATTTTTTCCTAATTTTATTTTTAGTAATATCAATTGAGCACTACTGATTTTTGACGTATTTCTGTAGCATAAAAATATAAATTCGATTGAATTCTATCGTTATTCAACAGGTCTTATTAAAAAAAGTATTCCAAAAAATGATTGAAGTTAGAGTCAAGCAAAATTTTTTTTTTTAAAAAAAAATCCATCAAGATCAGTGTCAAGTAATTTTTTTGTTTTAGTAATCTATCGGTTCCGACTTTCGTGGAAAACATGTTGGTTTTAATTGCGAATGATAAGTTTATTAAAAAAAGAAAAGAAAAAAGAAATACTACTAAATATTTTCTGAGTTATGCATTATACTCCTTTTTAAGATATTATTTTATCATTTTAAAATGATAGACACTGTTTTTTAGTTCATTTCAGAAAAAAATATTACTTTATTACGATTAAACTAATGTATCTTTAAAAATGCATTTTTTTAAAACTTAAATAAAACAATTAACAGCTTCATGATATTTTTTTGGGCAATTTTTATATATAGCAAATAAAAAATTTATATTTGTATGCTATAGCAAAGTTAACATAATTGCCCTTCATAGCAAACATAGAAACTGTATAATTCGTTATACATATACAGTTGAAGCAAATTGTATAAAACGAAGTGTATAAAACAAGAAAGAGAAAGACACTTGGGCAGAGAACTGTATAAAAACGAAGTATATAAAACGAATCATATTATTATAAGTGTATAGAACGATTATATACAATTTGAATTTATATAAAATGAGAAAGAGAGAAAGACAAAAGAAACTTGACAAGGAATATACAATTGAATCGAATTGTATAAAGAGAGAAATTAGATACAATTTGAAAATTGTATAAAACGAGAAAGAGAGAAAGGCAAAAGAAATTGGGCAGAGGAGTATTTTTATTGTATTATTATAAGTGTATAGGACGAAAATATATATACTTGCATGTGTTTATACAATTTTCTCATGTTGTATACAAATAGAAATGCAATTTATACATTTCAGTTCTTTTTGTATAAGCGAGATTTGGGAGAGTGGCGAGCGAGATCTGGAAGAGGGGAGAGAGGAGAACAAAAATATATGTATTTATACAATTTTCTCACGCTGTATACAATTAGAAACAGTTTTTATACACTTGTGTTTGTATAAAAAGTGAGAAAGCGAGCGAGAGATTGGAGGAGAGTGGCGAGCGAGATATTTGAGAGAGAGGTGTCTGACAATTTTTTTGCAAAATATGGAGCACAATTAAATCAAACTCTAGTTACTCCGTTTATTTTAGGTTATCATGTTATTATATATAATTTTTTCCTATTTTTTTTATATTAAATATAAAGGCACAAAATGCGTTAGAATGACGGCGGTCACATAAATGCTTCAAATTCAGTCCACGTACCTCATCTGCTAATTGTTAGCATTTCTCTGAGCGTCTCAGATCTGATTTTAGGTTAATTGTGGTAACAATTTTCTTTTGTGCTTCTTCTCATGGGTTTATGATTTGATTAGCGTTTGGTTTTCTTCTGTATTGGACGGATTTGATGTACAATCAATTTTTGTGTTTCAATTCTGACTGCTGCTTGTTGATGTTTTTATCACTTTAATGAATTCAAAAATAATTAAACAGAGCAGCTGTATGTGTTTAATTCTTTCTCGAACCAGAAAATTTTATTGTTTTTTCACCATTTTTGCAGGCACAATTTTAGATAGTTGAGATGTTGATGGATGAGGCAAAACTCTTGCTAGGCTTTCCCACTAGTTTTTGCCCCAATGCTTCTCAGGTATATCTTAATCTTACATATAAAGATGCTCGTTTATTAGGATACCATCCTTTCGAATTTTCAACTACACACCTAAACTTTGTAGCCTTGCTGTTGTCGGTTGAGAATATAATTAAAAGTAACAAAAATGTGCTCTGTCTAACCGCTTACGTTTTTAGATAAGATGGTCACACACTTCAACGTGATATTAGAACAGATAGAGGTCTTGAAAGGAACAAAGAGAGATAGGTGATGGAGAAGAGGGGGCCTAAATGTGTCATTGGTGGAGGGATGATTATTTGGTGGCTTGCAGAAGGATTTGTTATGGAAGTTCTCTACCGTGTTGTATGAAATGGGACTGGAAGAAGGTGGCGAAGAAGTGGTGGTTGTAGGAAATATTTCCAAGTGAGGGAGACGTAATGGTTGGAGAAGAAAAAAAAAGAATGAAGAAGATTGCAAAAGAAAAGGAAGAGTAGAATGAAAATGAATGATGGAGAAAACAACAACTAGGCTTACTACATAACTTTGTGAAAATTTCCTTTTTACACACCCTCCATTCATGAAACTAATGATAGTATCATATTTCAAACAAATGCAGGTCAAAGCTGCTTATAGAAAGAAGGTATGGGAGACTCATCCTGATTGCTTTCCAGTTCATCTCAAACCTAATGCAGAACTCAAATTTAAGATGGTGAGCTTTCCACTTTGTAGACACAAAAAGTGTTTACTTTCGTCATTCCTTCTTATGATACCTGCTGCTGCTTTTCGCTGAAACTTCATTTTCATAAACTTGCCATGATCACTCGGTTATGCCAAACCAAGTTAGTCTTTCGGGACCAGCGAAGAAATAATTTTTTTTGTGAGAACCAGTATCTGTATTGGTCCTTTTGGTAACTCTCGTGTTGTATGAATTTCTTCCCTCTTTCTTGCAACTATACTCTTTCTAGGAGTGTGAGCAAAAGGGTAATTCTTTGTCTTTCAAGTTTCACCTGTGTGTCTACTTTCTGATGAAGGTATTTATGTGGGTCATTTCTTTTCTATGAGCTTTCATTTTGCTGGTCATTGCTTCTGAAGTTCAAAATGCGTGTGTGGGTGCAGATTTCAGAAGCATACACTTGCCTGCTTTCTGGTAATTCTCATGTCTTAGCACATCTTCAACATGTGACAGCTAAGAAGATTCATTTACTTGCTTGAAACCTTAACTGATGAAATATCAAATGAACATGATTTTCAACTAAAAGAAAGAACCTTCTTGTTCTTTCTGCTTACAATATTGTTTCTTTTCCCCACTCATCTTGTCCCTTTTTAAGAAATCTATCGTGTAGAATTCTTTTATGATATATTCCTTTGATGCTAATAGTTCTAGGATGGAAAACACCAGATAAATACAGCGTGTGCATTAAATCGTCCAGAGCCCTATTGGAGTTCATTTTATTTTTCCAACTACATTCTGTTTTATTTGTTCCTTACTTGTCTAAGTTGGGCTCATATCTCATTTTGAATGTAAATTACAGGTGCAAGACAAGAAGGTGAACATGTAGGTAAGCTACTGTAGATTAGCTCTTTATTGTGTGTGTGCATGTGGGCGCACATATAACATGGGATCAACCCCTGATCTTATTAGAAAGACGTACCATGTTTTGTTATCAGTTGGATATTCGCGTGTTGTAAGAAGTGGTGTTCCTAGAGGAGGAGGAGGAGGAGGGAGGACAAGAAACCATGCACTGATTGGGCTTCCCTTTCTTTTTATTATCTTGGGAACTGCAGCATTGGGAGGAACAAATGTTGCCAGGTATGTTGATTTTGAATTCTTACTTGCTTGAAGAAAAGTTAAATCAGATGATCTGAATCTGTGTTTTTTTTAATACCTTCCACATCAGGGCCTACAGAAAACAGAAGGCAGATTATCCTTCTCATAATCCTTTTCTACCTTGATTATTCATAAAATATTTGTGTATAAATACGGTATGTGTGAAGTTACTCCTCCATGAAATATAACATTTATGTAATTTTGAAGTTGTTCATTATGTAAAATTAGACTATAGTTTAGGTCATGGAAGTTCACTTTTGACTCCATTGAAGCCATGATCCCTTAATCGATGTTGTAATATTTTCTTGCACACAACTGTTGCACATTTGATAACTGAAATTCATAGCCTCCCTTGTTCTAAATACATTTTTAGTGCATCACAAAAATACTGATATTTGTTCATCATAAATAAGGTATGTAAGTGACATTTTGGCCCAACTACATGGGAATGTTGCCTTTTCCTTTGTTTATACCATTGTTTATTATAAGTGTCACTTTGGCCCAACTACATGGGAATGTTGCTTTTTCCTTTGTTTATACCATTGTTTATTACGCACATTTTCTTACACCTGAGTGCCAAATTGGTATAAATTTAGGGTGATAAAAAAATTGTTCCAAGTTTTGAATCCCATCTCACATAATCTATTGGAATAAAAGTAATGCCATAAAATAACAGTGGAAAATATAGGAGAAGCTTAAGCTACTCCTTCCTTTCTTTTATAGTTTTATTTACAGAGTATCATGAATTGTTACCTATGATCTTCACAATATTTTTAATAAGTACATACTAGATAAATAATGACCACAAGTCTCAACAACATTATTTCTTTCTTTTACTTCATGCCAAAGCAATTGATCCTTCAAAATTGCAGGATCAATTGCGTTTATCCCATAACAATTTACATCAAATCTCTCTAGAGATGTTTATTTTAACATGTAAGAGACCCGAAAATAGAATACAAGAATCCTTGACCAGATCATTTTGCCGAGATACTTCTGTCGTCAGCCCGTACGAATAATATGATATCTGAACTCAATGAGAGAACAACAATAGCACCTGTTTGAAGTTCAGATTGATCTTTCTCTTGACTGGACACTTTTGTTCTACCTCAACAATTCATCCATAGTACATCATCAAATTCACCCCTCAACTTATCTCCTACTATAACGTTCCGTTCTATGTCCAAAGCAGTCATAGGCGTACCTGATGGGTGCCATGCCGGAGTTCCATTCTCATATGCATTACATGTCAGTTGTCTCAACCCACTCCCATCCAACTTCACCAAATATAAGTCACCGTAGGGTTGGTATTGGTTTGGCAGTGACACTGGTTCTGCTGTTACTCCACCCAAGTTGCCCGTGAACAGAAGCCATTCACAGTCCTTACTAAAGCATACGTGGTTTAGCCTCTCTTTATCTACTTCATCAGATCCCTCTGGCCCTGCCACGTGGATCCTACGAAGACCTGTGCCGTTTGGATGAATCACATAAATGCTGAAGCAAGTGACATTATCCGGATTGTGCCTGTTGGAAGAAAATGCAATCAGCTTTCCATCAGGTGACCAGCTTGGCATTGTATCAATCCATGGCCCCTCTGTTAGCTGACGAATTCCTCCACCCTCCAGCTCTCCCTTAACAGAATCCATAATATACAGATTTTTGTGCCCTGAACGGCCTGAACGGAATACAATGTGCTTTCCGTCTGGCGAGCAGGAAGGGAAGGCATTATTTCCCGTCTCCTCTTTTGTGAGAACTTCTATTTCTACTGGAATTTCTCCGCAATCATCGTTAGTTAGATTTAATGAATTGAATGAAACTCGTGCTATTTGGACAGTTGCTTTTACAGAGTCGAATACAGGTCCGATTGACGTAAAAATCACATTGGGTTCAGCTGGAGACCAGGAGTTGCAGAAAGCTGTACGGCCTCTGAACAATGTCCACTTCTTGGAACCGTCTGATTTGATGATTTTGAGGCCTGAATTAGCATTGAAATCATGATTAAACGCAATAAAGTCACCTGAGGGAGAGAAGGAAGGAAATGATCCATTAAGCCTCAGCATTCTCAGTCCTTTTTCTGGAGAAATTATCGGGGCCAAGGAAGGAATTGTTGCATCTCCCGATGATGATTCACCTCGGAACCGGTGATAACTGAGAAACGACGACTTAGGAGAGAAGAATGGACTGTAATGGTGAGTGGTAGGGTTAAGCAACTCGGTCACCGAATAGAACTTGTGAGACTCCACATCGAAAATCTCAATGTGGCGATACTTCGTCCCCTGTCTTCTGGTAGCAATAGCAATCATTGATTTGGAGCTGTGTGAGGCCGCTGGAGTAAAGCAATGCACACCAGGAGGAGTAACTCGAATCGGATCAGTACGCAGATTGAGTGAATCTTCAAGCAAATCTACTCTAAAAATGCTCCACCAACCATCATCAGCTTGTCGGTGAAAATAGATAGTCGAATCACCAGACCAAGTTGGCCAGCCACCGTGTTGGCACACAACTATCCGCTTTTCTGGGTCAGATTCAGGGAAAACAACAATATCAGTAGTCAGATCATGGAATTCACCAGTAGGCCAACGACGGTCTCCGTACGATGCAACCGCAATCAGGTGTCCAGACTGCGAAATCGCCGGACTATAATCAACACAGCCGTACGGAGTCAAGCGGATGATGTTACTATTATCTTCTATATTGGTAGAGTAAAGAGCGGACGAGCTGGTGAAAACTTGTTTGGGTTGCTGATGAGCTGAAATATAGTAGAGTTGTTTATTTCGAAGAAATGGACGGTCGAGAAATAGGCTATCAATGGGAGTAGGAAGTTGTTCCATCTGTACCTGAGAGGAGGGGTGTCTCAAGTAAATGCGAGGAGCACCTGATCTCTCCGAGACGAATACAAGTGTTTGATCTTCATCGACAAACTGTCCGTTGTAATTGATGGAGGTACCGTCTGTGAGGCGATGTTCTACCGGAGAATTGAGAAAAGAAAATGGAGATTTGATGGAGAAGATGTCGAAGCCATAATTGGTTCTGCCGACGGTGGAGAAGATAATAGAGCCATGTGGTGACGACTGTGAATCCATGATACTATGGTTGATGTGCTTTGCAGGCTGGAAATGGCAAATGTTATGATAGAGAAATCTGAGCTGCAGTAGGAAACGGCGACGGATCGTAAGTAGGTGGGGACTCTTCACGTTAGGCATGACGTTTTGGTCTTTTTTTTTTTGTTTTCACGCCAATTTGAAGTGGACACGTAATATACAAGTGCCTTATCCCCAAAAGAAAGAAGACAAAATTATCTCGTTCGTCCGTGAGAGGTGACAGATATATCGTAAAATGTTATTTGTGGAAGGTGACATGTGTTGTATGAAATTTGTAGAGGTACGCAAAAGCTGGCACAGAGACTACGGTTTAGAAAAAAAAAAAAAGGCAAACAACTTTGATAGCTAAGCTTTTGTTTTAGTAGGTGGATGCTCCTCCATAGTACACAATGGAACTCTAAACTTTTAGTTAAAGTTGTGGGACACTTGTTCACGTACTGATTCTTCTTATCTACTCTTTTTTTTTTCGGTTTTAGCACTACTCATAATTGGTCTTCATTATTGTTAACAGTAAGTGGAATTCAGATCTACAAATTAGAGATTCTACACTCCACTAAAAAGGCAACTAGATTCGAGAAAACAACCATATATTATTCCATATGTTTAAAAAGGAATGATCTATTTTTTTTTTAGTTTCCTTAAAAAAGAAGGGCAAATTTTATATATAGCAAATAAACAATTCATATTTATATGTTATAACAAAGTTTGCATAATTGTACTCCATAGCAAACATAGAAAATGTATAATTCGCTATACATATATATAGTTGAAGCAAATTATATAAAACGAAGTGTATAAAATAAGAAAGAGAAAGATACTTGGACAGAGAACTGTATAAAAACGAAGTTTATAAAACCAATTGTATTATTACAAGTGTATAGAACGATTATATACAATTTGAATTTGTGCAAAATGAGAAAGAGAAAGATAAAAGAGATTTGACAAGGAATATGCAATTGAATCGAAATGTATAAAATGAGAGAGAGAGAAATTAGATACAATTTGAAAATTGTATAAAACGAGAAAGAGAGAAAAGTAAAAGAAATTGGGCAGGGGAGTATTTTTATTGTATAACTATAAGTGTATAGGACTAAAATATATGTACTTGCATGTATATATACAATTTTCTCACGCTTTATACAAACAGAAACACAATTTATACAATTCGCTTCTGTTTGTATAAGTGAGAAAGGCGAGGGTGGCGAGCGAGATCTGGAAGAGGGGAAATAGGGGAACAAAAATATATCTATTTATACAATATTCTCTGCTTTATACAATTAAAAACAATTTTTATACACTTGTGTTTGTATAAAAAGTGATGAAGCGAGCGAGAGATTGGAAGAGAGTGGCGAGCGAGATATTTGAGAGAGAGACGCCTGACAATTTTTTGCAAACGTTAATGGAGTACAATTAAATAGTTACTCTATTTATTTTAGGTTATTAGTTTGCATATACAATTTTCCGTAAAAAGAATGATATTTATTTTTTATTTTTTGGTAATATTGTCATTTCGATTTTTAACATAGCATATTTAAAGCTATAAGATTAAACAACAATTTTGTATATTAGACATAATTTTTTTTTTTTTAAAACCACAAGATTATTCAAAAGAAAGGAGATTAGCTTGTTAAACAGCAAGTCAGCTACCCTGAAAATGAGCAATGCTTTTGGGCTATCTCATGGCAGCCAAAATGAAAATGAGCAAGCTTTTGAGCAATCTCATGACAGCCAAAAGAGGCACCATATTAGTGTTGAAGTTTTATTTGATATTTGGTGTAACTGTGGAAAATTATTACAATTTCATTTATTTATACATACAACAACTACTACCTTGAATTCTTGTTTCTTCATTATAGTCTTCCTCACCTCAAGTATGCTTCTTCTCCATTGCAATCTCAACCCCACTGCCATAAGATGGACGATACGATACGTTAGCAAAACAAAGGCGCATGCATTTGTGAGGGGCATGCCATTTCCATGAGTGTTATATATCCACATAGAGTGATTTGAACATCCTTTATCGAAAAGTAAGTAAAATAGTTATGTTTCGATACATAATAGTGAACACCACTGGTCTAAACTATGTGTGACCGTGTTATCCTATAGTACTCCTATATAACCAAGAACTACATTCTTGAAGTTTTAGAAATTGAACATGACACTTTCTATAAACAACAGGAAGCTCAGTAATACGACCTAAGAAATGCCTGTGGAAACAATCTTGAGAATATTTGGTCTTTTGCTTTGATAAGCAACTCGTATAGTCCATAACAGGGGATGTGAACCAGAGCCATGCCAAAATACCTGAAACCAACTGCCCGTTTTAGGATGTATTCAAAT